CAGCACCTCCCGGGGCTCGGCTCTCCTCAGGACACTGTTTGGATTGGTTTTCAAACCTAAAAAACACTTGTCTGCCTCCGTTCTTTTCAGTGGGGTTTTACCACGGTCTTCGGGTAAGAGGACGCTTGTGCTGGGGACGCCTTCTCTCACGTTCAACTACTTCGGTGCCATCCATGTTGTGAGGCTAGCACCACAGTAAACCGGGAGAGCCTCAAATAAACAGGGCAGCTGAGTTGAGAGGATTCTGAAAATCCAAGTAACCAGCTGACTTGTTCTCTTTGATGCCATCTCTAGCACTCCCCTCCCAGCATCCCCGCCCGACAAGGGCAGCTGGACGGACGCCGCCCCGACTCCTCCTCCTCTACCACTTGATGTCTAAGCTGCTTGCAGCGAGCCCAGGGCTCGGGAATGAGGTGTGCAGGGCTTCCTGCACCCTGTGGGGGTTGGCCCCGTGCAGCCATTCCCGGTACAGCATCTGCACATGCTCACTGGTCTCAGGGGGCCGCACAGGGATCTCGGCATAGATTCCCTCCATCTGCCGCAGCAGGGCCTTGTCCACACGTCCATCCTCGGCCTGGGCCTGGCCCCTGCCACGGAGGCACCCTAAAACACACACAGGACGAAGGGAGTTTTAGGGAGGCGTCACCCTAAGGCAGGAGCCCTGGTGGCACAGTGGTTAAGAGCTCAGCTGCTAACCAAAAGGTCCGCGATTTGAATCCACTAGCCACTTCTTGGAAATCCCATGGGGCAATGGGTTTGTTTTTTTTTTTTTTTGGTTTACCTTAGGGGAAGGTGCTTCTGGAGAAGTAGGGGAGGGGGCCTGCAGCGAAGGGAGGCCAGCGTGAGGGCCTCGTGACACGTGTCTCACTTCTGAGACTGTCAAACCCTGGTCCCCATGAACTGTGTTTACATAGACCTAACGGAGGTGCCCCTCATAGCACTGGCGGCTCTGTCTGCTGATCTGGGCTTTCCCTCCATCACAGCAGGAGCCCAGCCATCGTCACTGGGCAGTGGCATCTCTCGCTACACAGGTGCTCGGTCCCCCAGCCTCACGGGGAGGCATGGTCTCCTTGCCGGCCACAGTAGCCAGCTCTTTCTGGTGATGAGTGCCAAGCACCGCACTCCTCCAACTCCAGTGACGGCTCTGAGACCACGGGCAGCCCCTGTGGGGCACATGTCCCAGGGCATCTCCCAGGGGATGTGCCACAACCCACTATTCTCACCAGGGCACATGTGAGGGCAAGAGGGCCGGCAGCTCCTTGATGTCACACTCAAGCAGAGGTGAGCACCCATGCCCACAGAGTCGTCCGGGTGAGAACAAGGTGCCTCGTGCCAGCATGGGCCCTGAGCCTCTGCAGGAGCTGCCCGCCTGCCCACGGCCACGGGATAGGCCCGCCCTGCTCCTCGCTCACCTCCAGGACACGCAAGGACCTCCACAAAGTGGTATGGGGATTCGCCCCTCCTCAGCTTCCGGATTGTGTTCTGGATGTTCCAAAAGCCGTACGCCGCAGCAAAGCGCAGCACGACCTCCCCGTCCTTCTCGAGGGTCACCTCCTGGAAGTCTTTGTTTCTACAAAACAAACGAAACGGATTACAAATCTAGCAAGTCCTTTATCGGTGTCTTAAGGAAGGTTTTCTAATCTGTTTGGAATGGGGCCAAAATAAGAAGTCTGCGAATAAACAAAAAGTCTTCTGATTTCCAGTGATGTGCTCCAGGACAGGACACACGCGCACACACGCGCACGCACACGTAGGCAGCTCGCCGCCTGCTTCAGGATACCTGCTCTGAAAGCTGCGTGACTGCAGGCAGCCGGCCACCCCGCCACCCGGGGACACTGCTGCCCCTCGCACCTCAGGGCTCGACAGGTGACATTCTCCACGTCCTCGCCAAACAGCTCCTTAGCCGCGTGCCGGAAGACATGGGCCAGGTACCCGTCTGAGCTGGCTCCGTCGGGGCGCCACACCGCCGCCTCCTTCAAGTCTCCAAACCTCCGGGCAGAGAAAAGACCAGTCCTTAGTGAGACCATCAGCACTGACATCTGTGACCGCTCGTCTAAGAAAACGGCGACGAGAGCTAAACCAGACTCCAAAGAGTACCGTGATCAAGGTGTCTGCTGGCACGCGAACTCCTCTGCAAATATCTACACTTCCAGGAGAAATCGCGTTTTGACTGAGTCCATGTGAAGTTCATGCTGCCACCAAGCCTAAGATTGTATAAGGGGTGACGGTGGTACTCCTGCGTGCAGGCGTTGAGACCCGGCGGCTTCTCCCTGGCCCGTGGTAGGGGTCCCCTCCCTGGTGAGGGCCCCTAAGTATTGGCTATGCTCTAAACTCAAGTCCTGAACACCAGGGACACTGAGGGCCAGGAAGGCCGTGCAGCCCAGTCAATTGTGCCCGTACCTGGACACAGGAAGGGTTGAAGTCCCTAGCCCGGTTCTTAAACAACAGGTGCTCCCATCTGATGAAGGAAGCTGATGGTTTGGGACCAGCTAGTGTGATGAGGGCGGGGAGCCGTGCCAGGCATGTGGAGCTCACGGGGGAAGTGCTGCTGGGGGGGCGGGGGGTAGGCTGCCGAATCCTCAGCAGGCCTGGGCTTGAGGGGACAGCACGCAGCCTGGCTTTCTGCGGAAGGTCCAGGACAGGTGGGAATTTGGGATTTTGCAAAGGCACAAACAGACTGCCCGGCAGTGAGCGTCGGGGAACATGGCCAGGAAGGGTGAAGGCGGCTGGCAAACAGCTCGGCACGGAAGCTGCACTGGGTTTGTTCAGTTCTCTCGTTGCCACACATGCATGTTGGGGGAAATTCTACCCTTGGCAGTGACACGTGTCCCTCAGGACGTCGGGAACCTAAGGGCAACTCGAGAGGGCACCTTCTCTGCTGAGGTGGGAAGAGGGCCTGGCATCTTTTGCACTTTGCAAACCTCAGCTCCTTCTCCCGTGAGAGGGACACACACAGAATTCTTCTCACTCAACTTTGAGGGGGTGAATAAGGCCGGCCCAGTAACATGCTTAGCCCAGCTAGCAGACTCAGCTTCTGCTCTGTGTGTGAGGGGATGGGGAACCAGCTGTGCCCCACGAGGCAGCCACAATGGGTGGTTCAGATGGGGGATACTGGGAACCAACGGGGTTCAGAAAGGTAGCACGTCAGGGTGCAGGTGTGTGTACACCCCTTCCTGGAAGATTCAGGGTCTGGAAGATGCAGCCAGTACACTGTGGAAGCCCATCAAGCCTCCTGCCTTCCCGCAGGCTGGTGAGGGCTCTGCACCCCCGTCCTGCCCGAGTCCTGTCTGACTGTTCAAACAACGTGCCATGGTGGGAGAAATAAGCTGTTTTTACATAGATAAATCAGGATGTGTTATACATACATATGACTGGACAAATGCAGCCCTTTGAGCTATTCAGTCAGCTTGGATTAAGTCACAACTGAGATAGCTGGTTGGGATCTCTCCTCCAAACAGGACTGCTCAACCTGCTGGGGACAGTCCTACTAGTAACCCTCACTAAATGCTGCCTCAGACGATGCACAGATATAACATCCACCAGAGTTATGCACCAAGCCACGGACTTGCAACTCAGTGTCAAAAATGGGTGATGGGCGTACCAGACTTGGTACTGCTTGGCTTCTTTTTCTGGCACCCTGATGGGAGTCAGGGGGTGGACTGTTGGGAAATGGTCTGCCTCTACACCTCCCATCCAGGCTGCCTAAGTAAAGGCCTTGGGCTCGGAGCATTCTCTGATAAGGAAGCTGGGAAATGGGTAACCTCCTCCCTCCCAGTTCCTTGTCCTTATCAGAGAAGCCTACTTTCTGTTCTGGGCACACAGTAACTGTCCCTTACACATGCTTGGGCACCATACAGCACCTGGCCAACCCCACTTTTCTATCTGCTCCCACTTGGGAAGGAACGGGGTCTCTCGCACTATGGCACAAAAGGGGGAGCGTGTGTGATTCTAAGAGCCGTACTGGGGGTGGACTGAAGAGAAAAATAAGCTTTGCGAGGTCGAACATGAGCGCCCTCGTGTGGTCTGCTAGCTCACTACAATTTGCTAAGTCATCCTCATGTAAGTCCCTGGCACGTAGCTCCTATTGTCCACCGCCACTATAAAACCTATGCCCTTCCACTGTGGGGCACTGTAAGTCTCCCTAATAAACTCCTTCGCCACCACACTGGAGTTGCCTGCCTCTTTCTTTGGCCTCTCAGTGCCCTCCGTTTTTGGATGCAAATTTCATGTTACTGGTCCACGCCTGGACACTGACTCACATGCCCGAGAAGACTGTGGGTCCTGGTGGAGCCAGTGATATAAACAAGTGCCCCCCAACCCTCCCTGCCACTGTGTAGGACCACTGGGAGGAACAGGCATGGATGGGAGGCATGGGCATGATGCCTGGCGTGCTCACACAGGAACCCCACCACTGATGACCCTTCCCCAAAAACCACTTACAGAGTGTCAACAGCAGCTTCCTTCACTGAGAGGTCACTCTGCTCCATTATCTGGAGAAGTTCACCTGCAGACAAACAGGAGTCATGAAGCACCACGAGGGGACACCAACAGCCACGTCACGGTGCGTTCCACACGCGGGAACATAGGCAGCCACGTCACAGCTCATTCCACGTGAGAGAACACAGCCGCATCAGAGCGTGTTCCACGCGAGGGGGCACAGACAGCCACGTCACA